TTTTTTTTTTTTTTTTAATTCTTCAATTTTTTCATATTGATGGCTTCCACTTGTATACAAGTTCCTGTCATATGAATTTAAACACATTAGGACACATAAAAGGTAATTTTAAATGCTGTAAAAATTTTATTTATTACATATATATTTTTAATTGTGAAAATTTGAATTACGACAACAAGAGTATTAAAGATTGATTAACAAGAGAGAGAAGAAGATGAGTAAAGAAAACTCGGAGATGAGATGAATGGGAAAAATGAAAGGGCAAAATGGTAAATAATTACTACTCCTTTTTGCTAAGCTAAACATCGTTTAAATTTTGCACCATTTTTTATTTATTTTTCTTTTTTCATTTTTCAATTTAATTACTACTCCTTCTTTTACCTTAAAAAAATCTTAATTTTCATTTTATTTCTTTAAAATCTTTTTATAACAGTAACTCATATCAAGAATTTTCAAAAACTAATTTTTTACATTATTCTTGAAATTTATTTTGACTTATAAATTAATAATTTTTCTTAAGAAAATAAAATTGGCTAATCAATAAGAAGGTAGAGGTAATGTAAAAGAGATTGTAAAGTTAAAATAGAAAAAAATAACAATCAATTTAGAACAATCTTTTTATAAAAATATTAATTATTTTATTTTAAATAAAAAATTTTAATTATTTTGAGATTGGGCAAAGACTATTTCAAACAAAAAATTATTCAATATTCTATATGTTCTTCCAATTTGTTGTTAATTTATTTTTTAGAAATTTCTTATTTCCTCTTTCCTAAGTTTTTTATCTCTTTTAAAAAAAATATTGTGATTTCATCCATTATGGGTGCAATGTTTGATTTTATCGTCGATGTTAATCCTTCTAAAAAGCAATGAAGGTTAAAAGTTAAATCTAAGCTTTTGGTGTTCTGTATGTATGTTCTTCCAACTAAATGTGTTGTGTGCTTCATTTGTCATCTTGATTGACGGGATTTGTTAATTTTCATAGAAGTCATAAGAATTTTGCATATTCAATTTTTGAGGTTTCTCCATCAAACCTAGAAGCATGGTAGCGATTCTACAAAGTTTAAAGTGTGTTATTATTTTGTGATTTTAGATAAATACTGGAATTAATTCAAATTACTCACTAGTTAATGCTTTTAACAACTATGTATTATTTTACCATCCACATTTTTCCATGAAAATGATATCTTGACAAACTTTTTTGTTATTTTTTTTATTTCTTTGGTTTTGAAAACCATAATAGAGTTTGTAACTGGGCTGTTATTGATCTTTTTCTCTTATTATGTGGAAGAGTTCTCTTATTATATTGAAGAGTTCTTGTGCTTAGTTTATTAATAATTATAGAAAGATAGACGATAAAATTGAAGTGTTGGAGACTATATTATTATTTGATACTATTTCTTGGGTTTAAAGAGGAAAAGAATGAATTTTACCAAAAAAAAAAAAGAGGAAAAGAATGAAGAGGACTTGGTCAAGATAACGCAACAACAGTAAAGTACTTTCCTTTTGAGTCTTTGGTTGCTGCAACCAAGGATTTTTTCGGAAATTCACAAACTTAGTGAAAGGAGGTTTTTGACCAATGTTCAAGGTAATATTCTTGTATTGAACTTGTCTATATTCCTGGAATATATATAAATACAATCTCAATAGTTCAACCAATGAGAAGGGAGGATCGTTTCATTTTTCTTTTGATTTTAAGATTAAAAAAATTGTACATACTTCTTTCCTATGTTTTTTTTTTTTCTCTATTTAATAGAGCTATAGGGAGAGCTACTTAGGAGAAATTGCATGCTCCCTTCTAAGAGATTCAAAGGAAATTTGAAAAACTTAGAACAATTTGTCAGAGTGCATCTATTAATAACTAAAGAAATGAGAAGTTCTAAATTCCTAACTTTAATTGTGAATGTTATGTTATATGTTGTTCATCTAAATATTTTTTCCCTTTGTTTTTTTAGATATTTTTTATATTATTCTCATTTTATGATGTAAAACTTCAAAAATATGTTTTTTAAGTAAATTTTTAATTTTTTTTATTTATTACTATTTACTAAATTTTCTTACTTTCTACTTTTTGTCAGTCAAACGAGACAGCCTGTTTTTAAAAATAAATAATATTCTTTTACTAATATAAAAAAATAAAAAATATAAATATAAATATTTTATTATAAAAGATCGAGCCTTGCACGGTATTGTCTAGTTTTCACCAAATCAAGTGGCAAGCCACTTAATCGTGGACATCTGTTGGCCATCAATTGGGTTTTCTTACTCCCAAACAACCCCTTCGGCCGCGTTTCTCGCTGGGAACATTAAACAATTAAGTTGACTATACCTACTTTATGGAGATAACCTCCAGGAATCTTCCTAATTGGGTCGTTGA